TGCCCAGCTGCTGGCCTGGTGCCAAAGATTCTTCAGATTCCCCCAGCCAGCCAGCCGTCAGAGTGACAGGGGAGTGAGGAGATGCTGAGGGGGCCTAAGTGGGATCCAGAACCAAGTGGCCTAAAAGGGAGGATGTGTCACCGGACGTGGCGACTAGAACTGCAGAAGACTGATTCTAACTGCCTGATGTCCTAGGTACGCCATCACGGTCTGGTATTTTGATGCCAAGGAGCGGGCAGCAGCCAGAGACAAGTATCAGCTAGGTACCTCTTTTCCTTCCATCTTTATCCTTCCTAGTCCCTGTGTGCTGCCAGGTCATAGTCCTTACTCTTTTTTCTGGTGCTGGGAGTGGTACCCAGGGCTTTTGGCACACTATGCAAGCACTGCCATGGCCCACACCCACGGTCCTTTCTCTGTCCTTTATACCCAGCTCTTGCCTGCTTTCCTGGTGTCTCCAACCCAGAAGTGGGTCTTCCCCTCTCCTCTCAATGTTCTCCCCATGTCCCCAGCGTTCTTTTGGTTTCTCTGTCCCTTCCTAGTGATTTAGTGTCTTGTCTTCCTTTCGTCCTTAGCATCGGGACAGAAAGGTGTCCAGGTTCCTGTATCACAGCCAGCTACACCCACCTAGTGGCCAGCCCAGAGCTGCGTGGATTAGCAGCTCCCTGCCTGCGGGGGAGCCCCGGGCCCGCTCCTCCCTGCCACCGCTGCTGCTTCTGGCTTGCCTCCGTACTGGGTGGTGTGCTGTGGTGTGCTGTGGAGGGTGTCAGCGTCACCGAGGACCAACAAGGAGAGACCTCTGCTGCCCAGTGATCAGGGCTGGGTTGTGACCGAGGCAGTGGCCGGTGTCCCACCATGTCTGGTCCATTGCTTGTTGAGCTGAGAGGAGGCAGGATTTGGGGTTGAGGTGAGTCATGGCCTCTTGCTGGCAGAGGTCTGGGGGGGAGCATACTCACCCCCTACCCACTCCTCCAGCCTGGAATGTGAAGTGACTCCCCAACCCCTTTGGCTATGGCACTTTATGGACTGGGCTGCCACTGATTGGGCAGAGTAAGGTGCCATGAGGAGCATGGGTATGGAGGTCCTGCCAGCCAAGAAATAAAAGTTTACCTCAGAGCTGCACACATTTGTATTCTTCTCTGTAAAGAGATTTACACATACAGTTAGGGCAGCTGAGGAGATCAGGGCCACTGAGATCAGAATAGGGGAGCCCAACCTCAGCGGGCCTCCAGGCGGAGCTGGAAGGCTGGTGGCATGTTGCCCAGGCCAGTGCACTGTGGAGTAAGGTTGATGTTGGCGGGACTTCCCACGGGGAGCAGGCAGAACTTCTGCAGGATGGCGGTGAGGAAGAGGAAGATCTCAGAGCGGGCCAGGCCAGCACCCAGGCACATCCGCTTTCCTGTGGAGATGGGTGCAGGTGTGGGGTGAGTGAGCACCTCCTGCCAGCCCCCCAGCCCCAGCCCCTCGGGGCCCTCCCTCCTGGCCCAGACCTGGGGCAAAAGGCATGAAGGCATCGTTGTTCTGGAACTGGCCCTGAGCATCCAGGAAGTTGGTGGGATTGAACTGGTCAGGGTCCTTGAATTGGGTGGGATCCCGGTGTGCAGACACAAGCAGGGGAATCACAAATGTGCCCTGGGGGGGTACACAGTTACCCACAGACTGAGTGTGAGCACCTTACCAAGATCCTTTCTGTTCTTGTGCTTGGCAC